ATCTAAGCCCACTCTTCTCTAGTCTATCCTCCAATCCTCTCAGATACAACATAAACAGCAAAGGCGATAACGGGCACCCCTGCCTAAGGGGTGCCCGTTGTCTTTCCTTCCCCTGTTATAATCACCTTATTATCTTTGTAAATGTTCCTTAATATTGCTGTTAGCCCTTCATCTAGGTTTAAGCTCTCCACTATGTCCCACAGGTTCCTTTGGTTCACATTGTCATAGGCACCCTTGATATCCAGAAATGCCAGCCAGAGCTGTCTGTTTTCATTTTTGCGCTATTTTTATACACTGTAGTAGAGAAAATATATTGTCCTCCAACCTTCTTTGTTTCTGAAACCCGTTCTGTAACTCGCCCAGTATGCCCTCGAAATCTACCCATTCCTCCTGTCGGTTCTTTATAATCTGCATTACCAACCTGTAAATAACTGGTTTCACGGTTATGGGACGATAATTCCTAACATCAGACTTACCTCTTTTTCCCTTATATATCATACTCATCCTACTAAGCCTCCATTCATCTGGGATATTTCCTTTTGTTATCATAGTGCTCACTACCTCCCTTAGTTTTGCCTTAGATTTAGGACCCAAATTCTTCACCAGCTTGATTGGGATACCATCAGTGCCTGTCGACGTGACACTAGGGACTCATCGTTCCGCCTTTTCCCATTCTCTTTGCCCAAAATCCGCGATGTCAAAGCAGGACTGCAACTTCATTCAGTTCTCCTATTTTCCACATGTACCCGTTCCCAAAGTTCTTTCTCCAACACTGCTGCTATATGCTATATACCCCAACATTTCCCGCTAGTTTATCTCCCTGATGCGAGACTATGAACCTCTGTCTAGCTTGCGTCGTTTCACCGAGTGAGTTCAGGTGTTCCCAAAACTTCTTTGCTGCGGTTCTATCTTTCTTGCTTACATTACTCACCCATTCCTTACCCTTTCTCTGAATTTTCGCATTGATCAAACTGGATGCCTCTCGGCGACATGTTATAAAAGTGTCCCATTCTCTTTTTACTTCCATTTCTGACTCCCCACAACGCTTAAAATACCTGTGTTCTCTACCTGACGTTTTTGTATCGCTTGCTTCACTTCTTTGTCCCACCAGCTTTCTGGTCTATGTCCTTGCTTCCCCTTTCGTTTACTCTAAACTTTGTCTTGTTCCAGAGCAAAGCGCCTAGTTAGGCTCTCATAGGTGCCATATGTATACCGTTGCCCTGAAAATGCTTCCTCTATTCTTTCGGCAACTTTTTCCAACTCTTTGTCGCTGCAGAAAGTTTGCCTTGAATTATGTTGTCTAGTTTCAGCATTTACTTCTTTTTGCAAAATTCAGCTTAATATATTTGTGATCACTACCAAGACTTTTGGAACCTTCTTCATCTCTTTTCACTACTTGTAACGTACCATATATTTTGTGTGACATGAGTACGTAATCTATAGTTGAATGTAGATTGCCAGTTTCCCACGTTATGTGCCCGTCACATTTCTGACTGGCATTACATAAAACTAAGTCATGCTTTCCATCAGTTCTACTAATATGCTTCCAGTTGAGTTAGTATACCCATCCAGACCCTCGATATGGGCATTCATGTCTCCCATAATAATTATTTCAGAGCCTTCTCCTACCTCACTAATGTCTCTTGATATGCAATCAATCATTTTTCTGTTTTTCACTTTAGCACCTGTCCCTGTCCATAAGTAAACAACTCCAAGCACTGTTGGTTCCCCAGCGACTTTTCCTTTCACCCACAAATGTTCGGCACACTCTTTTCTAATCCTTTGAAACTTCCTGTTCTTCTTAATAAATGCTTCAATTCCACCTCCCTTCCTCGTTCCTTCCATGCTGTTGCATTCTTCCCACACATAGTCAGGGTTGCAAGGTGGCTGCTCCATGTCTCTGAGATGTGTTTCCACAAACCCATACACCACTAAATCTTCCTTTCTTAGTTGCTCCTCTACCTCTTCCCATTTTAACCTATTTCTACCACCCTGCATGTTAATATACGCAATGTCTGATTGTGGTGTTTGTTTATACCTGTTCTTCCGTTTTCTCCTTTTTTGAACCCTGGGTGCCTCTCCTGACTTTGTTGGGTTTTCAGTTACTGCAGTGCCCCCAGGGGCCTCGGTCCCCCCAAAACGGCCGTCACCGTGCGGCTCATTCTATCCCCCCCACCCTGAAACCCGTAGCCTCACTGTAGTGAATGCCATCTGCAAAAGGGCGGGAGCCAGCCTCGGACACTTCCCTGTTTACTTTCATTACGTCGTAGCGAAGCTGTCGACTTATACCCTTAATTACTCTGTTGGATTCGACAACCCTCCTCTCCGTTACCCCGGACTGCCCCCGAACTTCTGGAATTGTGAACACAACCACGTGCACATTCTCAGACACGTCCCTCAGCTTACGCATTCCCACGTTTAGCTGCTTTCCGAGGTTCTCGCTCCTACCCTTGAGCGCATCATTAGGCCCCGCATGAACCATTACCAGGTTCCTTCCCTCCCGGTTATCCCACACTGCCTCACATGCTGTGGTCATAGCATCCACCATACACTTCCCTGGCTGGACATCTACGGTTACCTACTGGTCTCCCATCACCCTGTTCAGTACACCCCTTTTAACCCGTGCTATGTTAGAGCTCCCCACTACCAGTACCCTAAATCCCCATGGTACCTGCGCGCCCTTGTCCTGCTACTTATCTCCTGTCACCTGACTTCCCGACGCCTGCTGCTGGAAGGCGCTATTGAGCTGAGGGTCACTCAGCTCTCCAGCGTCATCGAGCCCGCCAGCCAACAGGCTGGACTCCAGACCACCAGTGACCCCAGCCTGCAATCTGGTGGTTCGTCCCGCTAGAACTGACACTTCCTCCTTTCTCCCCTCGCTACTCTCACTCACTCGAATTACCCCTTCCATGCGCTCTACCCTACTGTCACACTCCCTCTTATACGCTCCTTTAAACCCGCCTTCCATACTTCCCCCAGTTCTTCCTCCTGCTTCTCGAGGCCGACCCGCTGCTCCCTCTCATGATAAGGCTGCCTAGTCAGCTCCTCATCCTGGGCCTCGATACCCACCCGCTTCTCTCCCTCTGCCTTAAGCTCGGCCTCAATCTCCCGAACTCTACCCTCCCATTTCCCAGTTACCTGCTTAAGCTTCACACAAAGCCGACACTCGACACTCATCCCCGCCGCCTCCTCCGGACCCCCGAAACCCGTCTCCTCTATGTAACAGCACCTCCCACACCCCTCGCGCTGCACCAACCCGTCCCCACCCTTGTCATGCCGACCCAAATCTCGACCCATGTCTAGACCGGAGCAATCCGTCACTTCCCGCCAAAAATTTAAACAGAGCCTACTTTAGGAAACTAACTTCTTAGTAGCCTCAACTAACCTCAACTGCTGCTGTTCAAACCTAACACTGCCTACCGTATACTCACTTCCAATCAACTCCCAAAGAGAGAGAGAAAAGAAGAAAAACTTGCACTTAGCTTCGGATGCTCGAGGAGAACCAGGAAGCACGTCCGCTCACCGCAACAACTGTTACAAACCTTTTGCGTTCAGTGTGCCACCTGAGAGCGGCGTCGCGAACCAGATTGCAGACGGCGAATGGGCGGGTATAGGCAATAGGGAATGCACGTCTGCCATTTTTGTTATCTTTCTAATAATTCGGTACGCGCGAGTTGACGTCTCAAAAAAATAGGCAAAAAACTTTGGAAGAAACGACTGTCGTGTCCCTAATTTTAGGTATGTAGTTCGAAATTCGATTTTTTTCTAGGCGTGCCAAATGAGAAAGTTTTTACGGCCGCACCTTGTATTAATGCCACCTAGAAGACAAAGGCAGCGCCCCCCCCCCCCCCCTCCTCAAACGTCATCGCTACAAGATCCACGCCGCACAGCCCCCTCGCGTCAGCATCGCCGCTAGCTCGACTTCCCGCCTCTCACAAAAAGTGGGACGCTAGCAGAAGGCGACGCCGAGATGGATCCGTCTGCCCTCTTTGCGGCGACTATCATTGAACTTCAGCGTGTATGCCTCTTGGGGGAATCAGGAATCAACTATACATTACGCCATGCGTATGCCCTTTTTTCTTTGGTTTAGTGCTTGTACTGACTTAAAAGGGCGTCATCATCATCACGATCAACAGAAGCAGCGGCAGAAATATTCCATTTTAGTGCCAAGAACAAGTCGTTTGCTTCTTGCGAAGAGGTTTCCGTGACGTCAAAACAACGCTGAGCTCTGACTGGCTTTGCTTGAAAGGATGGTGGGTAGACCTCAATGCAATAAGCCTTTATGTCTACCCACTAGTTTTTATCAGCCAATAAGAGCCCGGCGTTCTGACATCAGCGCAACCCCTGTGCAAGAAGCAGATGAACTTGCGTTCCGCATAAAATGGTTCATAACTTTTTTTGTGAACCTATACTCTCAATTAGAAATATTAAGTTTGAAACTGCTTCATAACAGCATGGAGAAGTTCCCTGAATAAGTTCGAGACAGAGCAGACATCGCATATTGTTAGTGTCACGTCGATTCCGGTTACCCTTTAATATCCTAGGAATGTTACGAACTTCTGCTCAAAACTGACGTTGGACCGCTTAGTCGAAACTTCGAAATTTTCTCAAAACTCAATGAACTTTCTTCTGTAGAAGATTGACTCAACTTGTACACAACAATTTCATTTCTTTTTAATAAGAAGATATGATATATTTCTGATATTTTAGAAAAATTAGTATGATGTTTTCACAATAAAAAAAAAACAGATTGCACTTTTAACGCTCTAGTTAGTCCAAAATGCCAAACACTAAAAAAATGTAACCAACAAAGATTGCACTTCTCCGCTAAGTGCCGTCAGCTGGTTTTAAATTTTCGCGCATGCGCAGAAAAGACTAAACTTTAGTCGAACTTTTGTCGATAAGTTCGAACCTGGGCCAACTCGTACCTAAGGAGGTTCGCGACCCCCCGCCCCCCCCCCCCCCCCTACTTAATATCTAGACAGTGCCCAAAAGTTTACCTAAGGTAAGCCATCCGGTTTTCTTTGAGTGTCTGCTCCCGGTCCGCACCAGTGTTGCAAAAAATCTTCGCACCCACGTTCATGTTGGAACATCCAAGACGTTCGATGTCATCCACTGTCACCACGACTTCCCCTGTAGCGGTACAAGCATCCATCTCGATGCGCCACGCCCTTTACCGCGATGTCAAATGCCGCATCTGTGACAGTGCTTAAAGTTACAGCGTCCCGAGCGTAGAGGTAGTCAAGCGTGGCTGTTTTATGCCATCTGTGACACCAAAAACTAGACAATCTGTTGTCATACCTTAAAAAAAAAAAATTGTATTCAGAAGTTTCCCGCAGATTTTCACAACTAAGCACCCCGTTGAAAAAAAACAACAGAAAAAAGAACTATTGTATGGGGTGGACAAAAAAGAACAAGATCTCTTACAAAAAAATATATCTCATAAATAAGTGCTTATATACTTTTGAATATCCTTGAATGTTTGTTGGCAGGCTCATATATTTTTACTGGTACAAGGACACCAGACGGAAATGCTGTTGGAAAAAAACATGAGTGTTGCAGCCGGCATAAAAAATTCAGGTGCTCGCGAGAGACGTACGTCGATGCAGCACGCCGAGAGTGAGAAGATGTGCCATGACATCACGCTGCAGAAAGCAAGATATTTCCTCTAAAACATTTTTGTTCTATTTTAAAAAAGAAACGCGGAAAATATTAGCAAGTTTTTCTGTCACATATATTTTTGTTTCGTTTAATTCGTTACGTTTTATACAACTTCTCAGATACAAATGATTACGAATGAGGTCAATACGATTTTTTTAATAGACCGTTTCACTGAAAGTGAACGAGGGAGTATGGGGAGAGGGGTACAGGCCCGCTTTCTTGCTCGATAAACTGTGTGCAGTCAGGGGAAACCCCGGATGTTCTCCTTAAGAGGGCGCGGTACCTCTATTTATTCTTCCGTTTCAGCCACCAGATGGCGCGCGGCTCGAAACGTGGTTGAACGCGCAACTTCTAGATGGCGCCAGTATCGAGGTGTGAAAAGGCCCGCGTTATCCGCTGCGTGAAATAGATCCCGAAATGTGCCGTGTTCTCCCGGCGGAGGAAGTTTTTCCCTCCCTCGCTCGCGCTTGGTATGTACGCGCGGTGGCCGAGTCCGGTCTCTGCGCTGTGTGATGCAGTGGGTGGCGCTCGTTTCTGTTCGGAGGTAGGAATAAAAATGCCGGTCCCCTTTTTTACGACGCTCGTTTCTATAGCTTGTTTTTCTTCTTTTTTTATCTCAAGTGACCTACAGTACCGCCTGTTCGAAATCGTCCTTTGCGGTGAGCGATTGAGAGTCAGGTTAGCATTTTATTTGAGTCAGTACTACACGTTCAATGGAGACCTCGGGCGGCGATGTAAATATGCATTGCTCCCCAAAGTGTGTCCAAGGTGCGCAATGACAATTGGAAAGGGTATTGAAGGCGCGCGACCGTCGGTTGGTAAAATACGTGCGTTAGATTCACTTATTCAGTCTAATCATTTTTGCCAACGTCTTTTATCTGTTTCGACAAATGACATGGTCGAGTCTATTGATAACCTTAGCTAGATTGGACGTACGGAGTGTCCGGGCTTTAAATAAATTTGCTTCGTTTATGTGAATGAATAACTGTTTTCTCTTTTCCGTGCTCGGTGCTATGCAAAAATCGCTGAGATGTTATGGTAGCTCAGTGTGGCGGCGTTTTGCACGCTGACTCGCTATTGCATTCGCTGTGCACAATATGTGTTCAGATGGAATGTGCCAAATCGTATTTCCGATCGATATGATAGATTTACTTTGCTACAGTGTTAATTATATTTTCCTGATTTAAACTGGTTCGTCCCTGATCTGAGCCTAGGTTCAAATTCGAAGGGCAGGCAGACTTAGCGTCGTAACAGCCGTAATGCGCAGAAAGAAATTAGTACCATGAAAGAAAAACAAAAGGATACGAGGTGGCTCAGTGTTATAGACCTTTTCATCCTCCTCCGCATGGGCGCTGCCATCTTGGAATCACGTGACGCGGCAGCCATTAGGTTGCTTCAACTTGCTGCTCCGCTCTCCCCTCCGCGCCTTGGCGAGTGCGTTGTACTCGTGTTTTTCGTCGCGTGTCACCGCGCTTTCTAGCCTTATTTCGGAAACTGTAGTCCGATACGTCTACTCGACGACTCCTGAGGTTTGCTTACTAATAGTGGCGGAACATTCTCAGTAAGAAGCACCTATATTTATATCGCGCATTTGCGATCGCAAGGAGACTATCTATATTCCCTAAAAGTATCGTTCTTTGTATTCATAATATATCGAAAACAATTTCTTTTGATTATGTGAGGAAACTCGCGGACGAGATAGACAACGAACGTTTAGCTTGTATTTTATCTGAGGCTAAAAGTAATGGTACGTCAGCATCAAGCGATTTGTTTGTTCATAATATCACACCTACATGTGTATGAGGTTCTCAATCTCTTTTTTGCGACGTAGACATTCGGTTGGTCGGTTTACTTATGAAGTTTGAGAAATTGTATACCATGCTCGCTCCCATTTTCACAGTCATTTAGATGATTCATTGATTACATTTAGATAACCAATGCCCTCCACTTAATTTACTTAACACAAAGGTTGCCTCCTGCCGCGTAAGTAACTGCCACATACACTTAACAGTAGCGAGTTTTAGAATAGCGTGCACAAAGAAATAACGTCGTTTCTAGTTGCAAATCCAAAACGCGGTTTGCGTTCGGCGCATGCGCAATATTGACGACGCTTTTTTTTTTTTTTCGCTTACGTTGTTTTATTTTTGCCAGTATCTAAAATCCGCAATAATGAACGCCCCTTCCCTCTCCCCCCCCCCCCCCCCCCAAAAAAAAAAAAAAAAAAAAAAAAAAAAGAAGAGTCTGCATAACAGTTATTTGAGTTCGGGATTGTCGATGGCGGATAGAGGTTTACTTTTTGTGGCTGGCTACGCCGAAATTTATAAAGCGAACTTGTTCTAAGAAATAAATATTTGTTCACACAGGTCCGTGAAGTGGTGCCTAGAGCTAGAATTCAGCCAAACTTTCCGAGGTGTTTCTCCTCCTGCGTTTTTTAAAATTTTATTTGGACAATTTTACGGAAGACAAATGCCAGATTTAATTTGACGGGCCTGTCACTTATATCATGTCTTGAGTAAGCAAATGTTCATATTAAAAAAAAAAATGTATTTCCTAGGGCAAATATCGCGAAATGCTGCTTATAAGTACTTTAGCAGGATTGATAATTTAAGAAATTTCCTACTCAGCCTGTCAAAACATTTCATTTCATTTTATTATGTCTCTCAGGGCCCGAAGACATTACGCTCGAGGACTAAATTAAAAAAAAAAAAAGAGCCCGGGACGATATTATATGCTTATATCAATTATCTGCGTCATTACACGATACGTTTTTATTCTGCGAAGTTCACTAAAGGTTGGGTGCCCACGAAAACCAAACAGTCAGTTGCAAACTGACGAGTTCATCTGTTCTGGCCGATTCAGAACACTGCTAATCAAGCTGTCGATATGCTTCCCCCCTTTACATTCACATGGTACTCTCTTCATTAGTTTGTTTTTCTGGAAACGGGTGTCATCGGGTGTCATCGGGTACGGCCATACACGATGGTATTCTTCCCTGTACATCAGTCAGGCTTTTCACAACCGACCATAATCAGATCCATCAAAGGAGTTGGTAAAAAAAAAACCTCAATTTAAGCTAAAATAACCTCGTAGTCATCAAAGTGGCTCAATACTACTGTTGCATTGGTTGTGTGCTATCAGGAAAATAATGGTATCACAAAATTAAGCAAAAACAATGTAAAACAGCAACATAGCCGCGTTCCCGTTGAAACCGAAATCAACCAAATTGAAGCAACCTAATGGCGCCGAGTGCGTCAGCGCCCTCTGTCCGCCGGTGAGGCAACTACTAAAATGAAAAGGTCTATAGAAGTAATGAGTGTGCAAAGGATGCCATCGTACGTGTTTTTTTTTTGTTTTTTTTTAACTTTCCGCATCGTTGGGAAACGCTCAAGGTACCAGCAAAGACAGCGAGCTGGCGTGAAATTTCCATCGAGCGGAAAACGAGTGTCATTTTTATTTCATCATGCGCTTTCATTTTGATATGGCTCAAAATGGGCGCGAAATAGTAACAGGTAAGGCAACAAAATTTAGATGTTAGGTCTGGAGCACCGCCATACTCAGCCGTGTTGGGGGCATCTCTCGCGAGTCAATACGGCAAAGGTATTGCGCGTCGAACTGTACGTGAGAGTTATTCATTTCAGCGAAACCTTGATTTCGCAAAACTATTGTGGCTCGAGTCGTGGCTTCCAGTACTTGGAAGCCACGAGCGAGAAATAAATGACAGTTGATTTTGAAGGACAATCGCGACGTGGAAACCCATAAAAGAGAGTTCCAATAAGACGAGAGCTTCCCCTTCTCTTCAAGTGCGTGGGTTACGCTCTGAATCCTGCACCTGTGGTAACACTGCAGGCTCCTAAAATCGCTTTGAAAACGTTCCTGATCGCAACAACTTTTTTTTTTTTTTTTTGTCGAGGCGCTATTTCATTTTTTTTTTCTTTTTGTCTACCTTGATACCCCATCAGCGCAAAAACTACCATAAACTAAAAAAAAAAAAAAAAATAGTGGGCATACAACGACAACGCACCCACTGGGACCCGAGTCAAGGCAAGAACAACTAACTACTAAAAGGGGAAAAAAATCATGTTCGCATACACGCCTCCATCGAAAGAAATGAATCATGCGCTTGTTCTGCCAGTCTCGTTGTGCGTCTGTCAAAAGCCACAAAGGAGGAAGACAATCAGCGCCTACACCACTCCATCCCTCCCCCCCCCCCCCCCCCCCCCCCCCTAAAAAGAAGAAAAGAAAGGTTTCTTGGGCGCGCGCACGGTCGCCCAAGCGATGACCTTGGAAGGGTATGCGATTGTAGCACGTTTGTCCCCTGGTTGTGCCCCTGTCTCAAATGCCACGGTCCGTTTCTCCCAAGTGCCTGTCTTATCTTCCCGAGTATCAACTCCGCAGTGATTCTGAATCATTCCGATGCTTTCCAACGTTGCAAAACTGTTAGACGAATATTTGCACAGAAAATACACTGTTCGCAGAACTATCTACGGCGCTAAA